GCTGCCTACTACGACACGCACCCGCTTGGAGGTGGTTGACCTCAGCTCCTCCATCTCCTCCTCCTCCTCTCTCTCCCTCTCCTTCTCCAACCCTCCCCCTGCTGCCTACTACGACACGCACCCGCTTGGAGGTGGTTGACCTCAGCTCCTCCATCTCCTCCTCCTCCTCTCTCTCCCTCTCCTTCTCCAACCCTCCCCCTGCTGCCTACTACGACACGCACCCGCTTGGAGGTGGTTGACCTCAGCTCCTCCATCTCCTCCTCCTCCTCTCTCTCCCTCTCCTTCTCCACCCCTCCCCCTGCTGCCTACTACGACACGCACCCGCTTGGAGGTGGTTGACCTCAGCTCCTCCATCTCCTCCTCCTCCTCTCTCTCCCTCTCCTTCTCCACCCCTCCCCCTGCTGCCTACTACGACACGCACCCGCTTGGAGGTGGTTGACCTCAGCTCCTCCATCTCCTCCTCCTCCTCTCTCTCCCTCTCCTTCTCCAACCCTCCCCCTGCTGCCTACTACGACACGCACCCGCTTGGAGGTGGTTGCCCTCAACTCCTTCTCCTGCTCCTCCTCCTCCTCTCTCTTCCTCTCCTCCTCCTGGTCCTCCTCCTCCTCTCTCTCCCTCTCCTTCTCTAACCCTCTCCCTGCTGCCTACTACGACAAGCACCCGCTTGGAGGTGGTTGACCTCAGCTCCTCCATCTCCTCCTCCTCCGCTCTCTCCCTCTCCTCCTCCTGGTCCTCCTCCTCCTCTATCTCCCTCTCCTTCTCCAACCCTCCCCCTGCTGCCTACTATGACACGCACCCGCTTGGAGGTGGTTGTCCTCAGCTCCTCCATCTCCTCCTCGTGCGCGTCGAGCTCCTTGCTGTGGCTCTGCCGCAGCTTCTCGTTCTCCATCTCAAGTCGCAACTTCGCCTGCTGCAGCTGCTGGATCTGCCCCGCCTGCTCGTCCAGCTCGTCCTCCTGGTCCTGCTGCTTCTTGTCGAGATCATGCTTCTCCCGCCGCAGCCGCAGCAGCTGCGCGAGACAATCAGGGTAAATTATTCAGGAATAAGTATTGTGGGAGTGCAGAAAAAATATTTGGGAGTGCAATTTGTACAATGTACACGGCTTTAGATCAATATTTTAGGCCGTGCTACACATTTTTGGCCGCGCAGTTTCAAAACTGACCGTGCAAATCAGACCGGCTGCACGGCTCGCTCGCTGATACGTTGGAGAGAACGCAGAGAGGAGCGCGACGGTGAGAGAGAACCACTTGCAACCACGTGTAATTCTCGTGCAACCACTTGGGGGACACGCGCAGTGTTTACAATTAGAGTTTCCCCCATTTACACATTTTTTGCTCCATTAAAAAAAAATTTTTTTTTTTATTGATTACTCATCGAATCCTGAGGGCTTCAGGATTCCCTCACCTCTTTGTCATCCTTGCTGTGGGCCGCGCGCTCAAACTCCTCGATCTCCTCCTGCAGCTGGCGCAGCTTCTCCTGCGCGGCGCCGTGGTCCTCCTTCAGCAGCCGCGTCTCCTGCTCGAGCCGGTAGCTCTCGCCTGCGATCTCGTCCTTCTCCCTCAGCAGCCGCTCACGCTTCTGCACCTCCTCCGCGAGCTCCTCCTGCGCCCGGTGCAGCTCGGCGTCAAACCTACGACCGAAGAGACGGACACGCGCACTGATGATAAAGCGCTTGGGGTTGAAAATGTTTGCCAACCCGATCTCTTATAAAAAAAGTTGCACACCCCTCGCCTCTCCCCACTTAGGTGGAGGAGTGGTTAAAAGGTAATTAAAGCTTTAATTTTCTTTTTAATTTTAAACTGTTTAAGCGGTTGGCAAACATTTTCGATGCTTCTCCACCTAAGTGGGGAGATGGGGTGCAATTATCTTTTAATTACTCAACGGAAATGGCGTATTCTAGTGCATTGTGAGATACTCCAATTTTGCGTAAAACGGCTAACACAAATATAAATGCACAAAAATTAAACACGTTGAGACAAACATTTAATGTAATTGCGTCAAGCCGTGGGGTAAAAAAAGCCTATCCCGGTCCAAAGCGAGAGGGTAACCGCAGATTCCGTCGCACATTCCAGAATCCAGAATTCCACTCTAAGAATCCATTGCAAATACAACATAACCCATCAACACCCCGGCGACGCGTCACACTTACTTTCTCTGCTTGCGCTCCAATTGGCTATTGCGCGTCGTCTGCTGCTCCATCTGGTGTTGGAAATCCTCGAACTCACTCTGCAGCTTCACGGTCTTGCGCTTCCAGCTCTGTGCCTGCTGCTGCTGTTCCTCATACTCCTGCACTGTCTCCCCGAGCTGCAGAGAAGCGTTCACTTGTTTTAGTCGTCACCAGGGTGCAGCACGCGAGCTACCAACGTTCTAACCGGAACTAGGTCAATGCCGAAGGCCGGATGTTGCGATGTCATTACATCTTAGCTAGATGGATGCTAGCCACGACTCAACATGATATATGAATGAAACATCACCTCAATGCTGTACACACTGGCAATAAATGACGCATATATCCAACTGCACATACATACAATAGGGCACATATTGACGCATACGGGTGACTAGGGCCTTCAGACTTGTTCCGGCTATTGTGAGCACCTGCTACAGCTCGACTTTTCTTCCCCCACGTAATTTCTTTACTATGGCTATTACTTGAGTACGATTATTACCTGATCTTCCTCGCTCACACACACACACACCTTCCTTTCTCACACTGACTTTCCTCTCTCTCAATAACCTTCCTCTCTCTCACTGACTCTCCTCTCTCTCAATGACATCCCTCTCTCTCACTGACTCTCCTCTCTCGCAGTTACTTTCTTCGCTCCCACTGACCTTCCTCTCTCTCACTGACCTTTCTCTCTCTCTCTTTCTCTCTCTGTCACTGACCTTCCTCTCACTCACTGACCTTCCTCTCACTCACTGACCTTCCTCTCACTCACTGACCTTTCTCTCTCTCATTTACCTTCCTCTCTCTCACTGACCTTCCTCTCTCTCACTGACCTTCCTCTCCCTCACTGACCTTCCTCTCCCTCACTGACCTTCCTCTCTCTCACTGACCTTTCTCTCTCTGTCACAGATCTCTCTCTCTTTCTCTCTCTGTCACTGACCTTCCTCTCTCTCACTGACCTTCCTCTCCCTCACTGACCTTCCTCTCCCTCACTGACCTTCCTCTCCCTCACTGACCTTCCTCTCCCTCACTGACCTTCCTCTCTCTCACTGACCTTCCTCTCCCTCACTGACCTTCCTCTCTCTCACTGACCTTTCTCTCTCTCTTTCTCTCTCTCTCTCACTGACCTTCCTCTCTCTCACTGACCTTTCTCTCAAGCATCTTCTTCACTGCTGTCATTTGTTCAACTTCCTCTTCATGTTCCTTCTCGGCCCGCTTCTTCGCAATCTCCGCTTCCCGCACAGCCCTCTCGAACCTCGCCTTGTAGATATTGTCTGTAGGAGAGAAATAAACCATTATATCAAGAGTACATACTAGAGACATTAATACATAATACACTTATGTATAATATTATATACATATATAATATGAATAATGTTACATACATTATGTAATACATAATAGATACATAATACATAACATTATCTCTATCATGTACTCATGATTATATGTTAATGGCAATCGCAGGTAATTAGCAATAGAATAGAGAGCAAGGCTCTAATGACTAAATGTCTGGTGATCTACATGTGATTCCTTATTCTTACTCTTTTCTTCACTGGCTTACAGTTACTTCCCTATCTGGCCCTTGTAAAATGTAATAACTAAAATGCTATTGCAATGAGCAAATGTCATACCAATTTTATGTTAACTGCAGTAACAAAGCTAGGCAACAAAAGTAAGCATAACAAAGTATTTGCACAATAATAACTTCATTGTTCATAGTTAAATCCTTAAATTGTTTACCTTGACAGTTTCAACTGTCGTTCTGACAGCCATCTTCAGAATTTCTAAATTCGTCAAAAATGAATTGAAACTGTCAAGGTAAACAATTTAAGGATTTAACTATGAACAATGAAGTTATTAATGTTTTAAAAGAAATCCGACTATGAACTTGCAAGTATTTGCACAGTTCCTGCAGGCATCCTCGGCTATGTCTTCATTCTACGCTTCCTGCTTCCGCGCGGATTGTTGGCTTACCGTCGCCATCGTCGTCGTCGTCGTCATCCTCATCCATGACGCTGGTCCTCAGCATCCGCAGCTCCAGCATCTCCATCTCCATCTTCTGCGTCTTCTTGCTGACATTGCTGTAGCGCGACTATCACGAGAGAAGCAAGCAACATCGCTGAGCACACACGCTAACTACAGCTTAGGTGCAATGCCAGACGTCCCAAGTGTCCCGGTCTCACCGGGATCGTCCCGGTGCGACATGCTGGTCCCGGCGTCCCGTTAAAAGTCCAGAAAGTCCCGGTAGTAACATTTTTTAGCCATATTTAGTTTACATCAGTAAATTACTAAATTTGCCGTGGTAGCAATAATAAATAAATATGAAACCATAAATTAACATGAATTTGCATTTTATTTTACATGTATACTTTATAAAAAATGGTGGTGCGCTGCGACAAACACATGTCGCAGCCCGCTACAACTATTTTCCTGTTTTTGCGCACTGCGAAAAAACGGCGATGGACCATTATCCCAAGTGATCCCTTTCTTGGTTTTTCCAAACTTCCGACTTCTATGCAATGCTAACCAGAGGCGTGTTCAACAGAGCTCGATGCACGAACGCAGCGCCTCTTGAACGACACACGAGCGCTCGCTGTGCGCTGGCTTTATCCAAGATGGCAGCCCCCATGGAGGGTTACTCAGCAGATTTTAATCGCGAGATTTTAATGTCTTCGAACAAGTACTGTTAAACGAATTAGCAGACGAAATTGATACGAATT